AGGTTCTCCGGTAAACCTCACACACACACATTGGCCGTCTCAGAGACAAACTCTTTTATTTCCCCCACTGACTGTCACACCCCCCCCACACTGTCTCTGCTTGGGCTGACTGTGGTAAGGGAGTGTGTGTTTAGGTAAAGTGTTAAAAGCTTAAATGGACATAGTGGTGGAATGTAAAGATAAGGCGTCTTTGCTTATACAAAGAAACACACACGCACGCACACACCCTCGTGCAGTAGCCACACGAAAGCAGTTATTATCTAACTCACCCACATAACGCCGTTAATGGGCTAAGCACCTGCCAAATCTTCCCCTCCCTGACCTGGAATGAAAACACTGGAAGTCTGACACATTATACAAGAGGTTGTGACCTTGTAATGGAATGGATGAAGTCACCTAACGCTCCAGATGAGGACTTTCAGGAGAGGTTTGGTTTGTGTGTTTACGAAGGTGCTGCAGCTACTGGAATCAGAACTGGTTTGAACTCTGCCGAACTCTGAAAAGGCAGAAGATTGTGAATCAGCTTTTTAGTTACATCATCAACTCTCATATTTAAGGTTAATCTTTTTTTCCTGCAGAGCTCTTTCGATTTTGAAAGCTGGTCTTGATCAGATTTTAGGGTCAAAACTTTTAAATAAGCAAAATGTCTTTTTTAATATGTGGTATCGATGCAGTTTGATTAGGTTTAGGCACCAAAACTACTTGGTTAGGTTTTGTAAAACATCATGTTTTGGGTTGAAATAAGTCATTACGGGACAGCGGATGCGTTAAACAGGAGTTACTTGAAAGCCCAGGGCATCTCATCTGGACACTAAAGTAGACCTAGTGTGCCAAATACCAACGCGTTTTCAGTCTTCCTCAAAGGGGAGGATGAGGATTTCAAATACATATTGACAAACAATGCAGCAACTCACTCCCAACGGAGGGAGCAATCCACCGTTCTCCGGCAGAAAATCCATGCCATGCATTTGACTTCAAACTGTCCCAGTGTGTGGTGAAGGTCAAGGTCTAATGAAGCCAACAGAACCACATCATCTTGCTGCTGGGGAGCTTCGTAACTTCTTCAGACCCCAAATTTGGAAACCACTGGACTAAACTCCTGGACTTTATATATATATAAAGTAGGTAAAAGTAGCTCCAGCTGTCCTCTGTGATTATGGTTTCTTCAATACTGCCAACAGTGTCTATTACATCACTTTAGTGCCTATAATCACAGTAAAGAATTTCTCTGTGGGTATTAGTGATATAATGCATAATCCTAACTGTAGCGAACATCCGATCGAACATAACCATGGATGGTATGTGGTCAAGTGTTGGTGGCTGAAACAACAGACAAAAACGTGCTCGAGCTCAAAGTTTTACTTCTCTTTCAGTTTATATAGTTCTGTTAAAGGAAATATAAATAGCTTGATTCTGTCTGTCTACAGTGCTATGACGCTATCCATAGTGCTAATAATCATACCACCTCCCCTGAAGTTCATTTTTATCTAGCTCTGACTCAGCATTTTTTGCAAACTCTGTGTGTTGGACTACTGTTTTGGCCAAAAGTTGAATGTGAGGCCAAGTTTCAGGCTTTTGTTTTGAAACGCAAGCTAAACTGTTGGGATGGGGAACTAATAAAACGTCTAAAATATAAATGTTAAAATATTAACCACATGTCAAGGATAGCATCATGATAAACTTGAACTCTCTGCACCTACATTCATATATAAAGAGTTTAACATTTCCCAGGCTGAGCAGTTCCAATACCTTCCTTTTCAAGGTTTTAGTACCTTTTGCATTATCTGCGAGTCTTGTTTTAAAAAACAGACAACTCTGTTTATGGTGGCTGTTTATGTATATGTGAGGACATACTATATATATATATATATATATATATATATATATATATATATATATATATACACACATACATACATACACACACATACATATATACACATACACACACACACATATATATATATATATATATGCTGTGCATCTTTGTTATAAATGTACTACACTTAGTGCAAATTAATGACTAACCAATACATAGAACTATTGCTTTAAAAAATATTTTGTGTTGTTTGCATGTTTTGAAATTCTCTGTTGTTTGTTTTCTTTTAGCATTTAATGAAATTTTGAGTTGTTCTATATTTCCTGCCTGGAAACTTTTTATCTACTCTTTATAAATATATGCTGTTAAAAAACTACACTTACTACATGCCAATATTGACTATAACTGGCCATTGATGTATTCATGAAAGGTAAGATTGTAATGCATGTGCTGAAAATACATTTTCAGCCTAAAAAAAGGTACTTAATGTGTCACTTCGAAAGAACTTGAATATGCTGGTGTGTATGTAGTGCACAATTGATTATCTGCACACTCCATACTGCGAACAAAGCTCAGCAAAATCAGAGGCAGTCTCTTACAGCATATATACTGTATACAAAAGTAGGATATTCTTAAATTATTAGATTTAAGATATCAAGAATAAACTTTCAATCGAAAATACTCCTTAAAGTACTCAGAGAAATGGAAATTTGCACATCTACAATTCCAAACACTCAACCGGGCAACTCAATGTGCTGAGGAAGACCATGAGATATGATCAAAAAGCTCCAGAACAGCTTTGAAATGGATCATTTGTACTAAAAGTTTGGTAGTTTTTCTTCTATTCCACGTGATTTCAGAGTCATCAAACCATTTTAAACTCACATTTGACCTCTCCAAACTGCACACTGAGAGCAACTATATAGTAAAGAAGCATTCACTGGTTTTCCCTGTCAAAATAAAAGTCACAAGAACTGATGATACTTCTGGCCTTTAAAACCCTTACTGATATGTTCTTATTAACTCACTAACCTTCGTCCCATGTCAGTAGATTATTTATGAGCTATCAGTGTGGGTGTGTGTTCACCAGAAAATGGAAGTCTCTGATGGCAGTGTGTGCAGCACACATCCAAACTTCTAATAATTTAAGAGGAGAAAGACCAAAAGTGCATTCCATTAACTCAAAACAATTTAGTCTTCCCGTTTTCTTTCTTTCCAATCTATTTCCCCTTTTCTTCCTCTTTCTGGCCGGCTGCCATGTGTTTCTCCTCCGCTAGGCGGCAGCATTGAGCCGTTGTCAGGGAACGAGTTTGAGCCGCTGGAAAGAAGAGAAGGAAAAAGAGAGAGGGAGAGATAGACCTGGAGTTCTTCAGTGAAATATCCAAAGTGGGCAAAAATCCCTCTGAGACGTGTTCCTTATTCTGTGCTGAACGAGAGAGTAAAGGAAGAAAAGGAGGAAAGGGGTGAAGAGGGATGCAGAGGAAGGAAAGGAGACAAAGCGATTGTATACATGAAACATCTACAGTATATTAGTGTATATTAAAACAAAAAAAGAAGGGAAACCAGCAGCGGAGATAAATAAACTGTCAAAAAGAAGAGGAGATGAGGTTAAAATGAATTGAGAAATTAGTAAAAAGAGGATAAATCAAGATTGACTTAACAATTGTGAAACAAACTGCAGAAACTTAAAATCTCTCCTCATGATTTTGTCACCGTCAGATGACCTAATTGAAGCCAGTAATTTTCTTTGGAATAGAGGTGGCTCAGCAGCGTGCCGAGAACAGCCCAGACTTCCCCCAGCACATGCATCTGACTGATCTGATTGTTTTCTAAAGAAGGAGAAGTCAGGTCGAGGACGGGGACACGTGGCCAGGGACCGGAGCCGGAGTTGAACCTGGAGTTGACCTTTCTGTTAAAGGGACGCTTGAGTCTGTCGGTTCAGCTCGCGGGTCATCAGAGCTTAACTTTGATTCAGGCAGCAGAGAGTGATGGGAAAGATAAGAGAGAGGTGAGGGGTAAATATTGAGGCTGCAATGTAAAGGTGAGCGAAGAAGGAGACAATTGGGAGGAAACAAAGAAAAGCACATGTCTGTCTCTCGCTGCTGAAGGTGAGGTGTCAGAAAAAGAGGAAAAGTCATCAAGAAAAGGATTAAAGAATCTAAATAGAGAAGGAGAGAGAGACAGATGGACAGAAAGAAAGAACAAGTGAAAAAAAGAAAAGAAAAGCCAAATCTGAACAAAGAAACTGAATGTGCAGGACTCTCTTCTGTCTCTCTTCTGCTGCAGTGCCCTTGAGCAAAACTGCTCCAGTGTGCATAAGTGTGTGAACAATGAAAAGAGACTAAGGTGATAATCTGTAAATGACCACTGAAGAGCTATGAATCAGTTTGTCACCGTTAGAACAACATTTCCACTCCTTCAGGAAGATTTTAGCCATTTGGCAGAGAACCCTTTTGGAACCAAATGATGCCAGTTTCTGGCCGAGGTCCGTTCGTGTCCAATGATGCACCGGGAACATGAACGGGAGAAAACACGAAGATTTTGAACTGCAGAAGCTGGGTATAAACTATAAATACGCACCAAACCTCGTGCGTAAAGGCGCGTCTTAGATGGCAAGTTTGGAGTGATCATTTTACTGTAGAAACTAACAACGATGGAATTTGTTATTGATGAGTCCAACGCCTCTGCTACGCGGTAAAAAAAAAAAAGAGGTTCCACCGATCCTGATGTGTGCGCAGCGCTGTTTTATTCTGCAGGTGATTAATTCACGTGTGCGCACGTCCTGCACGGAGACAGAAGTCATACAAGTAAGCGCAAGCGCTGTTTCTCTCTCTCTCTCTCTCTCTCTCTCCCTCATTGGAGCTCTGCCAGCACCAGCACGCTCCAAGCCTCCTCTCCTCTTGCGCCGCTTGCTGCTCACTTTACACCACCCCTCCTTCTGAGGGGAGAGAGGAGGAGGAGGAGGGAGGGGGGTCCTCCAGGAGCTGAAAGAGGTGGAGCAGAGGGGAGGGATGGAGAGAGGAAGGGGAGAGGAGAGAGAAGGGGAGGGGAGTCTCCCTCTCTAGCCGACGCTGGAGGGAGGTGGGGTCGGGTTGGAGGGGGGCGACGGGAGCCCTTGGCCGCCTATTCGCCTTCCAGTTGCCTCCGCTCTATATAAACACTCATTGGTGCCTCTGGCTCGACGCACACACACACTCTTTACGCGCGCATACACACACACACACACACACACACACACTGAGGGTGACTTGTATAGGCAGCCAGCGTTGAGAGAGAGAGAGAGAGAGAGAGAGAGAGAGAGCGCTCTCAGAAACAGAAAGGTACACAGAGAAGAGAGTGGACGCCAGAAAGTGAGAGAAGGAGAAGCAGGACGGTGGCCCCTGAGCATCTCCTGCGCACCTTTTCATTCCTGCACGCTCACGGATCTTAAAAGTCTACACTTTACTTCATCTTCATCGTGCTTGCTCCAGAAAGAGATTAAAACTTTTGCAAAGAGGCTTTTGAACATTTTTGGGAGTTGACAGAGACGCGATTCCTGGAAGAGTTTTCCTTCATTTTTCCCCCCAAACCACGTCTTTCCATCCCTCGAGAAGTTTTAAAAAGTAAAGCCCTTGTTAGTTCCAGGGCTCGACTTCACTTTTTCCACGTGCCCCACGGTGTCCCAGCTTTTGACATAATTGTGTTACCTTGAGATTTTTTGCTTGCCTTCAAGTTTGACACTTAAAAAACAACAACTTCATTTTAAGTTACTGACCCACAAACGAGACCAAACATGAGATACCGAGCATCCCCAGTCTTGTGTGATTACCGTCCTAAATGCTTGAATCATTAAAACAAAGTGAGTTTTAATGGTTTTTATTTTTTCCACTTTACAAGCTGATGTGTGATACTGAAGATACGGGGAGCCGGGCAGCACAGCTCACCTGTAGCATCTCCTCCGCTCAGTCGACACTCTGATTTGCACTTTTTACGCAGATGAACGCCACTTTGTGACTATTTTAAGACAGAGACTCAATCTATCTGAAAAGGACTGCACACAGTTCATTCATTCTGAAAACACAACCGACTCTTGTCAATTGCAGGGGGCTTTGGAGTGCGTAAAGGAGAGTTGCATTTTACGCCAAAACTTTTATCCAACTTTTAAATCGCCCCGGGGATCCAGATCTACCAGATTTCATCACGAATACAAAGTTTAAAGAAACTTCAGCGCAACTTTTACCATTTTAAAAAAAAGTCATCCTGAGCTCCAGAGAGGCAGCCAGACTCTCCATCATCATGCTGTTCGACAGTTTCGACCTCGTTTCGGCTCTGGCCACTCTGGCCGCCTGCCTGGTGTCCATGGCTCTGCTCCTCGCCGTCTCCCAGCAGCTGTGGCAGCTTAGATGGACGGCCACGCGGGATAAAAACTGCAAACTCCCCATGCCTAAAGGATCCATGGGCTTCCCGTTCATCGGCGAGACCTGCCACTGGCTATTGCAGGTAAGCGCGCCCACGGGGCGGGGAGGGGGGGTTTGGTGGAGCGAGACACGGTGTCTGGGTCAGCGCGGGTCTCGGTGTATGCGCCGGGGACAGAGTGCGACTTTATCCGTGTATGATGGAATCAGTCTTATCTAATTCATTATTCATTAAGACATCCCAGACGTTGTTTTGCTTTGAGTTCATTCATTACACTTCTACACTTTTTTCCCACTTGGGCTTACTGCGTGTGCGCTCCTTCAGCGGATCTCAGTCGGCGATATCGAGTTACTGATGAGTTAGTGTGCAACGGGACAGTGAGATAATAGATTAGTAGAGATACTTTTAAACACCAATACTGCACAGTTTCACAGATTTTGCTACATGCGTAAAGCTTGTTAATTGCGCTGCAGTTGGTGATCCGTCAGACAAGAAAAAAACGCCAATTTGTACCTTTCCTCCTAAACTGCCCATCATTTTACTACTTTCCTCAATTTGACTCAACATCCCATGACGCGTAGAGGTAAACTTAACCATAAGGTCTCATCTCACGCCGGGTAATCTCTATTTTCCTGTAACATATGTGTCGTTCTCACCAGGCGCGCCTGTAATGCACACAGAGCGACTCCAGTCCGCGCGCCGCCATCAAATACTTTCACTTCACTTTTAATTAGTTTATAGTACTGCAATCTATCCCCCACTCTACTGTGGCTCAATCAGACAATCAGATCGTTTTTCTTTTTCTTTTTATTATCTCAGAGCGTGTCGGGTCCAGCCGCTGCCAGACGCTCCCTGCGCAGAGATCGAGTCGTAGTCAGGCTGATAGGCTATCTGTCATATCTTATTATGGTGGCAATTAGTGACAGCGGGTATGCGTAGAAGTCAAACACAGAAAATAATAAAAAGTCTAAATTAAAGTCTTATGTTTACTACAGAAATGACAAGAGTGTGTTTGTTGAATATTTCGGGATGTTTGGGAAGAAAGACAGAATGAGGAAGAGAAAGACAGAGACTTTGTGTGGGTAAAAGGGTTAAGGTGAGGGTAAGTGCACACCTCTTCCTCTTTTTTTACTCCTCCTTTTTCCTCCCCTTCTCTCTTCTCCGTGCTGGAGAATCCAGACGCCGCAGCTCCGCTCGCTGCGGGATCATCTTGGCTGCTTTCATTAAAGCATGCTGAATGTTTCAGAAATCACCCGTTACTGAGACCCCCCCCCCCCCCACACACAAGTTGATTGACAGACAGATGCTGTAACGTTGAAGAAAAAGGGAAAATCCCCTGCACGTGTAGACTGAAACTTTTTGATGGTTTTGGTGGGGTGATCTTCTAATTGCTAATAACATATTTGGTCCCTGAATATGTGCTTAATCTTTATGTTTTGACCGAAAGGAAGAGAAATGTGGACCACAGAGCGCAAAGAAGGACTTTTACCAGTTGAGGGAAGAAAGCTCAGGATTGTAGTTTGACCGGGCTGCACGCGCGAGCCCCGCTAAGCAGCCGTTGTCAGCGCGAACTGATGGCTCCCAGGAGCACGCCGACAGAAAGGGCTGGGGGGTGGAGGAGAACAAATAAAAAAAGCAAGAGCGAGAGAGGGGGGACAGGGGGAGAGTAAGAGAAAAACCTCAAAAAGAGAAGCGGGGGGGGGGGGGGGGGGGGGGGGGGGGGGGGGGGGCAAGGCAGTGGCTCGACGAGTGGAGGCACGTTGGCCGTGTGCGGGGCTTGAACTCGCGGTGCTCCTCTCCGTTACATCTGACACCGAGCGAGACGCGTTCCCGGAATGCAACCGAGGACCACGGCCAAGTGTATTGCGGGGGGGAGTACATGTCAGTCAGAAAGAGGCTGAGTGTGCCTATACTTATGAGGACCAAATGTCCCCACAAGCAGGGAATCTGGAGGAGTCTGACAAGTGAGGAGTGTTTTGGCAGGGCTTTCAGTGGCTAGATTGGAATGAGGTCTTGACCTAATCTGAAAGTGAAGTTGAGTTAGGACTAATAAGTTTATGTAGTCAATGAAATGCCTCATAAATACTGTTAAACTGAATGTATGAGAGAGGCAGAGATGCTGGGCTGCAGCCCAATCATCATCTGTGCTGTGGGAAAGCCAGGCAGACATAGATGGAGATCTGATGGGACCCTCCTGCCCAGATTCTGTTTTATGTCTCAGCTACTAGTCTGCTGCTTGATTGCTCATGGAGACGACATGTCAGACGTGCTCAGAGACGAGCCGTCTCTCTGCAAAAGTGGGGGTTAAGACCTCTGAATGCACCAAGAGGTGATGTGCATGCAGCATTTAGTTAAGTTCAAGAAATTAAGTGGCATATGTTGGGTTTTGATTAAGAGTGTCAGAACCATAGCTGTATATGGTACATTGGTTCTGAGTCACCTTTATGAAAGTTAACCGGCTGTTCCACCGGAAGCAGGGAGATTCAGGAAGGAGACACCAACTTGTCTTCACCAAAGAAAAGGACAAAGTTGGTTGGTGAAACGGCTTCAAACGACAAATCCTAAAAAGTTCTTTCCATCCAGTGAATGATGACTCTTCCCCGTCCAGCAAAATAACAGAATTTGTCATTTGTTCAAAGTACGTTCATATGTTAATATGTTTAATGCGACATAGCAGAGTGCAGCACCAAAGGTCTTACAAAGCATCTGATTTCAAGTCCAGTCTGATTCGTTGTTTGTTTCTTCTTTTTGATCACAGTAGGTTGTGTGTCTTTGACCATAAATCTTTTTGTACACTCAAGTATTTTAGTTAAGTAAACATAAAAAACACGGCTGTTGTTTCTACATCAGTGACACACAGGTAGTTTGGGAAAACATACCTTTTTTGTCATGTTGGTTTGAGGACTGGAGAAATTGTTTAGGTTGATAACATGAGTTGATATCAAGTATTCTAACAATTTGTTTGTTCAAGTATTTAATTTCAACCTGTAAAATCTGTGTTTTTGGGCCACTTGGGGGCGACGGAAGCAAGTTGTGAACACAACATACGTTGATATGGCAAACTTGTTTGCAAATAGTTGCTTACTTACACATTCAGCAGTTACGGAGCAATATTGCCATTTATTGCGAGTCGTATTTGTGTCCACATGATGAATTTCAAGGCCCATGTTCACTCTTTTTTAGCTCTGATTTTGGTCTCCACCAACTCCAAAGGGAAAGAACTAGCTTTTTAGCTGCTAAATGCTCCACTATGTTCAGCAGCTTGTTGCTAACTGTGTCTGGTGGCTGTTTGGTGCTGAGCAGGAAGCGTGATCCACTGTTATTACAAAAATATCAATTATAGGTGCTTTAATGAAGGGTAATGATCTTTGCCCCACCTTTAAACACGAGGCGATTCCTAGACTGCAGATTGTGTGTGTATGTATGTGAATGAGAGGCAGTTTTGTAGGAATATGTTGAAGTATGTAAATAGGTGCATCAGATTTCTCTGGATAAAAACTGACAAACCTCCAAAAATAAATTTTTCATGCATCTTGCATTTTCTTTACTCACATTCCCTTTGTTGTTTTACTCCCTCTCTTATTTTCACTTAATGTCTCTTCCAGATTTCCTACATAAACACCCATTATGTCTCAAAGTGTGCATATGTACGTACTGTATATTTTTAACTCCACACACGTGGCAGCAGCAGAAGCACATTTTTGTGACGGATCCATTTTAAAGCAATCTGCAGTTAGAAATAGTTTTATGGTCACCCTGCCAAAGACCCGTCTGCTCTCATTAGGAGCTGGAGCTTTCTGAAGGGACGGCGCCAAGCAGGAGCGTTACTACTGAGCAGACACACACACACACGCATTGAAATATTACCTACATGGTGCAGGTTCATGTATACACTGAGATAAACACACATTAGTTATATGCATGCATTTTTATGCACCTACAAGTGTGGATACACCAATATACTTTCCATACAGGTGCATGGACGTCCACACACACCATCCAGTGTATGTATGTTTAAATGCCTACAGTCATTAAAATGGGATTTATGAACACAAACATGAATCCATACAGTTCTTTATTTACAAACGCACAACTCGTATGAAAATATTTATGAACTATACCAGTCGGAAAGTGATGGTACTATTTTTTGGAGAAATACTATACATTTCTGTTTCTAAGACATAACAGCAAAATGGTTACGTGCTAATTTGTTTAGGTTTTGCTCCCTTTTTTGGGGGGTTAAATCATATTGTGTCAAGTTAAACTTAGGATGAAAAACCACTGCTCTAGTTCTGTAGTAATTTTTTCTTCCAACAGAAATGAAATTTGTCGGATTTGAAAAAAGTAATTCAAATCTCCGATACAGAAACTTCTTCACCAGGAAAAAGTTACAAATATATGGTCAGACTTAAAGACAAAAGTGTTTTTAATCAGTAACATGAAAATTTTATGCCAAATACACATTTCTCTGAAATAACAGAGAAAGATTTTTGTGTGCTGAGCACTGAAAAATAAAGCAGTTACCTGCAGCTGCCACTTGGGGTCACCAAAGTGCAAAGTTCCCAGACGTGGTTTTGAATTAATTAATTAAAAATAATCTTTTGGATTGTGTACAGGTTACTTATAAAATGCTCTTTTCAGATCTCTGGGTAATGAAGTTCTTAAAACCTAAAAAAAAAAAATCACTTATCTGCCCATCAGGGGCCGCCACAATGCGAGTTTCTTCTTTTGACAGAGTCGATATTGACACACAGTCGTCCACCGATGCTGTTCCCAGTCAACGAGGGAAACCTCTCTGCTATTCTGGATACGGCTTCTCCTTGTCTGGTCCTGATACCTCAGACACACACTCACAAATAGACCTGCATGCAGTGCAGACAAGCTGGACTGAAATTGGGTCAGACCGTAGGAAATGAACACATGGCACAGAGCCTCAGCCTGTACAGTGTGAATGAGCCTGAGCCAAAAAAGAGCCATACACACGCACACGCACACGCACACGCACACGCACATATTTCTTTCTCATAAAATTAGTCAAATTTGACCTTCCGCAGCTTGGACAAGCATCCGCTCACACACACTTA